GTCACTTCTCAACTCATTCATCTGGATTCTAAATCTTTCTGTGTTTGTTTAAGATAAAAGACGCTAAAGCCTACAATGCTGGTGACTACAAGACATGGAATAAATTAATGAACGACGACAATGACTTTGAAAAACCAATCCAAAAAGATTTAGAATCCAGATGAATGAGTTGAGAAGTGACATATTTAACTAGTTGAGTTATTGAGAATACATGCGATAACCGAACAGTCACAATAAACATTGTGAGATTTTGTTTTATACGTGAACTAGCCAGGGATTGATGAATGCGCAGTGCGCGTATGTTAACTTCGGAATATTTCAAGGAGGAGCAAGAAGAGCGCGAACCGTTTGGTTTGCATTCGTGCGGCTACGTAGGCTTGCTTCCCGAATGGCAGTCAGCTACCGATCGACTGTATCGGACCAAACTCTGCGCAATCCTGATTGTTTTCAGTCAACGACCTCTACATTTTGACGGTGGTGGATACAGGTAATAAGTAGCGGTAGTAAAGCTCCGCAAACATCCTTATTCAAGTATGGCCGCAAACGGACTGGCGGTTTTAGTGGGTGTTACCCCAACGTCCAAGACTCTTTTGGTCACTGTCATGCCCAGTACATCTTTTTATTAAAGTGAACCGTCGGAACATACTCCTTATCCCTGAGCCAGAGTAGGCGTGGCATTTGAACATGGCACGGAACTGGTTACTCGTGGAATATTCCAGTCTGGGACAACTGTCATCTTGTTCTGTGTTGGACAGAGACACGACAGAAGCATAGACGACACCTTCAAGTTAAGTTGGAGCATGCGGCCACGCCTACCCGTTCTCAGGGATTTCGAGTATATGTATGTACACTCCGTATCCCAAAAATTGGTAGGGCGTGGCTGTGAACTTCATTCGAACGTCCGCAGCTGCGTTTCCGATGGGATGTTGGGGGCAGTTCGTCATTTTGCTTCCCATCAATGTGTCTACCCATCTAGATAACTTTTCTTGAGTTGACACGTTTTACCATGGTGGCTAGACGAGCTTGCTCCAGCTTCACAGTTCACAAGTTTCACCAGAGTGAGACTTGTAAACCGGAAGTAGTGAAGCAGCGAAAGTGCAAAATGCTTCCCACCCCCCCCCCCCCCCACGTCGCCGAACTGCGCCAGGATGTTGTTACTTTGGGACAGTTCGTGTCATCACGTTGTCCAGCACAAGTCAGACTGACAGCTGTTTAGAATGGAAGTATTTTGTTGAAACTTGTTTTATGCTATATGCAAAAAATGGACTACGTAGCCACGCCCTCCCCATTCCGTGGATATGGAGTGTACACAGTCTGGCAAACAATTACGTATTGAGCAGACTCTATTCCAAATGCACGCGACTCGGATGGAAATGAAATGCGGTGCCACTCCCGAAAGACGTTGACCATTCCCTATCCATGGACTACGGTAAGAGAAATCATGCCAAGTCACGAAGGGATACATTTTGCCCCTAATAGCACTCATGTTTCAGTGAAGTATACAACAAGTATAGGTGCAAGGCGTAGCGTTTACTGTGCGAAACACAGAAGATTTACTTGGCGGCTGGAGGGGGGGGGGTACTCTGCCATGAAATATTTCTTTCTACCTGATGATTTTTCTCCCTTCACGCGCTATAAATCATCAAAGTCGG